GAACATGAAAACAATCAAGGTCTCGAGATAGCTTGCAATCCTCAAACTTGCTTGTGGTACATCGTAAACTCAAAATCGTGATATTTACATATCCAAAGAAGCACAAATAAACTAAAAATGGTACTAGATTAAAATGTTTACAAAAAGTAAGCAATTTAGGGCAGGTCGCCATTACAAAACTGAAATACGTGAACCGAGCATGCGCGTTTATATATACAAAATGCAGCAAAAATTGACATATCCTTGTAGAAAATCCTTCCCAGATGTGTTCATTGATACAGTTAAGAAGTCATAATTTCTCAGATGATGTCGCTGCATCTCTTCTTTTGATTAATGACGATATCTTTTAGATATATATTTCACTTCATTAGATATTCACAGAAAACCGGTATCTGTACCCAATTAGGTTAATTATCACACTTCGATATATACGTCAAGAAAGGGTAGTCCCTTACCAAGGATAACATTTCAATTAATTGACAATATAAAAAGCTATCTCTTATATCAATGTAGGGATAAAAGGACAAAATTTCACATAATATATAGCATATCTATTTTTTTTATTTAGATGAAAGAGTTCTAGCGATAATAAAAAACGCGCGGACTTAGTTACGATTCAAAAACAGCACCTAATTTTCAGCCGCACCCAAGTTGGTGTTTCGTCACTAGAGCAGCACTCAAGTTTGTAAAAAATTATATATTTACGAGTATATATAATTTTTTCCTGATGATAATATAATAAAACACCAAGAAACACATCCAAATAGCTTAAAATAATATAAAATACATAAACCATAGACACATCCTCACCTTCCCTCACCCTCTCTCTCCAACACACACACACACACACACACACTCACAACACGCAAAACAAAAGGTTACTGTTCAGATGAAAATATTTCAAAGAATAATATATTTTCTGAATATTGTAAATAATTTTGCTTCATTTTCCTTCACTGTTCTGGTAATATTAAATAAAAATGATTTAATTAAGTAAAATAACCCTTAAAAACCCACTAAAACGTATTTAAAAAATTGAAAGTTTTATGTTGATTGCTGAAAAAAGTTCTTTAAAGATATTCATTATCAAAATGTACAGATATTTTAATTCTTTTCGAGATATTTTTTGTTTCATGGGATAAACGTCCTCTAAAAAATAAACATCAATAATTTTTTAACGACTGTAGAAATGCATAATGTATGGGGCAGGAGATAGTTTCGTACTAAAAACCCGGTCAAATTTCTTTAAAAACAGATATCCCCAGTTTGTGATATTTTATGCAGAAAAATGATAAGAATATTTAAATGATTTGAATAAAAATGGCCCTATAGTAATTGGTGAGTTTTCATTAGGGCATGCATTGATTTACGGACTACTGGGGGATTTTTTATTGCTCGCTCGGGCCTGAGGGTCGGCTTTACGAGTGCAACCTAGGTCCAGATCTCGGAAAAACAAGCCAAAATTCGTGGATTCCACAGGTGCATTTTTTGGTTTATGTTCACTTATAGACATGAAAATTACATGTTGACATAATTTGTGAGCTATGGGCACCTAAAGTGTAATTAATTAACCCCTGAAAAAAAAATGTTCCCATGTGCATGTTTGTATGGAATTCATGTTTATGTGTTGCATATGATTTGCATTAAAAAAATATCTTCTGCCACCTATATTAGCGATTTACTGTGTTAAAAAAAAATCAATATTACATTTACCCAAGGTTTACAAAATAACAGGTGCATTTTACGTAGATTTTTTCAACATCATTTTTATCCCCCCGCTTGAAAAGTGGGAGGGTATACTGTAATCGGTATGTCCGTCCGTCCGTCCGTCTGTTACGCTTTGGGTTACCCATCTCTTATCCGCAACTCCTCTTAAATCACTGAGTGAAATTTAATGAAACGTTCACAGAATCTTTATAGCATATTACCGTTGTGCACCTCCTGTTTTACTGTTTGATCTGACACATATTTTGGTTTTCCGGCCACAGCAAAACATGGACTTTTTTCCATTATAATCATATGGGAGGCGGGGGTATCATTTAGTGAGCTCTTTGCTCACAGTACCTCTAGTTTATACAATTTTAAAATGTTAAATATTTTAAATAAGTCCTCTGTTTCGACGAAAAAAAAAATCTAATTTTTTTTTATTTTAATTAGAGAAATGAATAGAATAATGTTTTATTAGAGTTAATAAATTATTTTTTATTCTTATTATACACTTATTCACACACACAAACACACACACACACACACCCTCTCTCACACACCCTCACGTTGAGAGAGAGAGAGAGAGAGAGAGAGTCTATATCTTTCATTAACTGAACATTGTGCATTGACCTCTATGTTAAATGCCGTAAGCACATTCCGTTAGTGCAGAACTGGGTCAGAACCAACGAGTCCATTAGTCAATGAAGTGGAGTATTTTATCTTGTTTTGATTTTATTAGAGACACGGAAAATCATTGATTGATTCTTAAACATTTATATTTATAAATAAAAATATTTCTAATATATTCCTGATTTTTTTTTTCAAATACCTTTGCTTTATATTCCATTATTGTTCATGTCTTAGTTCTAATGCTTTAATATGATACCTCATTTTTTAATGGACCTAATTCCGGGCTTCTTTACTTTTGGGGTTTTTTTTGTCTCTAAAAATCTCGGTATCAATGTGCCTCATATATGTCAAACTTAGTCCATTTCTCCCTGCATTGATATAACAAATAGTTTGGAATTAATGTTTGCAATAAATTCTCTAAAATAAATATTTTAGGGGGAAAAGCCCATGAAACAAATAAATCTGAAAATAATTAAAACATCTGGAAATTTTAAATGATCAAAATCAAAAACTTCTTTCAGAAACCGACAGAAAAGTTCTTTCAATTTCTTCACATTCACGGAGTTATTTATTTCAATCCAAACAGTAATATTTTTTAGTGCGAATAAGACAAGTCTAGCTCTATTCATATCATTTTTTATCATCAAATCTTAAATGAGTTTTTGTAGAGTTTTCCGACATTAGATCTCACGACATTTTAATCTGTGGTATCCGTTATGTAATTAAACAATGGTCTCTGCCTAATTAAAATTATTCTGTTATCTAATTAAACAATGTTCTCTGCCTAACTGAAATCCTTTTTATTCTGAATTTTTTTTATTGATTAAAACATAAATAACTCCTGTTATAAAATAATAGCATGCAAATTACAGCAGGGATTTAATTACATGCGAAGTTTAAAACGTTTTATCTTTATTACCTTTAAACAAAGCAATGCCCTCCTTGGGAATGTTGTAAACAAATTCCGTAAATGGAGAATTGGGTCACTACACATTTTCACTAAAACACGAGTTCAAACTCGTATTTCTGAATCAAAACGCAAACTTATGGGTTTTAATCATGGTTTGTTTTGTTACAGATGCAGAAAATTCACTGATGATTCTCAAAAACTCTATTCCAAACACGGTATAATAGAATATCAATATCCTTTAACATTAACACAATCAAGTCGCTTATTTAAAGGTCCCGAAATAGCTTGAGATCCTCTACTTTGTATGTGATACATCATATACTCCAAAACTAAATATATACATATCCAAAGAAGAACAAATAAATACACAAATGGTACTAGATTCCAAAGTTAACAAAAAGTAAAGAATCTAGGGCAGGTCGCCATTACCGAACTGAAAAACTGAAGCGAGCATGCGCGAATATATATACAAAAGACAGCAAAAAATTGACCTATCCTTGTAGAAAATCCTTCCAATTTATGTTCATTTATACAGTTAAGAAGTCATAATTGCTCAGAAGGTGTCCCTGCATCTATTCTTTTGATTAATGCCGATATCTTTTAGATATATATTTCATTTTATAAAGATATTCACAGAAAACCGGCGTCTGTACCCAAGTAGGTTGTTTATCACTCTTCGATATATACGCCAAAAAGGGGTAGTCCCTTACAAAAGACAATATTTCAATTAATTGACAATATACAAAGCTATCTCTTATATCAATGCAGAGATAAAAGGACAACGTTTCACATATATGAAGCATGTCTGTTGATTTTATTAGATGAAAGAGTTCTAGCGATAATAAAAACAGCCCTGAATAACCCAAGTTAGTGTAACTTCACTATAGAGCAACAGTCAAGTTAGGGAAATGATGTATATATATATATATATATATATATATATATATATATATATATATAAAAGAAAAAGAAAATGAAACAGCCCTGAATTAGGTCCGGTTCAAAAACAGCACCTAATTTTCAGCCGCACCCAAGTTAGTGTAACTTCACTATAGAGCAACAGTCAAGTTAGGGAAATGATGTTCTAGCCAAATTAGTCGAGCATACACCTTAAGGTGGAAAAAGGTTTAAACTGAAATACTTACATTTGCAAATATCTTTCTTAGATTATTCTATTGAAGAGAAAATATATTCAATTCTGTGTTCATATTATTTGGGGGTCAGAGGTCATAGCGAATCACAGAGCGAGGTGATGTTTTGTCTACATATTTCTAAGACGGTGCAAGTCGTATTGGAATATTTCTAAGTTTATAACGATGAAAAAGATATGATGATTAACAATATGGATATTTTTCAATCACGAGATGTACAATCAATCTTCTTTTGACGTGCATTAGGTTTTAAATCACGTGACCAGCTAAAAGTTCTTTCCCAGAGAAGTTTTTAAGATTGTTTATTTCTAAAAACATGTTTATATAGAAAAATAAAAGAACCGATAAAAACATTTATCTATCGTCATACTTAATAACAATCATAATTAGAGAAGAAAAAGAATGCAAAAATTACAAAAGTTTCCATATTATGGCTACAGAACCATAAGGATACAGAGGATATCGGGTTTGGATTCTGTCAAACGTCCTTTCAGCTGCGAGATACATGTACGTGTATAAGTACTCATTTAATGAACGACTAGTTTTACTTCATCTGATAATGATGTCATGAAGTCTATGACGTAAGTGATACAGTGTATTATACATCACATATGACGGAGATTCTTCACTATGACGTCTGTTCCGTACTGGCTCTCTTAATTGACTTCATGACGTGTATGGGTTTTCTGGCGTCTATTGAGTACAAATTGGACAATACCAAAAACAACCAGCACCAGCCAGCAAACTGTACAAATCCATGAGGCATTCTGAAAAGGCCGATAAAGATCATTATTTTGGCGCAGCTTTATTATTGTTATTCAAAAACTAATACTCTCTGTTATATTTTGATAGAACCTCTCTTAGATTTCTGATTGACTGAGATCCAGAAAATGCAAGTGTCTGTTTAGGATGATTTTTTTTCATTAGACTAGAAGTAGATTTATTACGATAATAAGCATAATTGATAATTATTTTAACTACTTCGACTCCACTCAGGTAATGGTAATAATGGGACAATTGAAATTATTTATTGAAAGGCCACTTCTTTTTGATTCAGCATTCTCAAATGTTTCTGATGTTCACTGAACTGAAAATTCAGTTTCAAATTTTTCTCTCCCTTTAGGATGCAGACGATAGAGGCATAATTCTACATTACGTTGTATTTCCATTCGTGAACTCTTTAGAATTAGAAGCGCGTTTCGTCGTCTGACTGGGACAGCATGGCGTTGCGGATAAATACAAAACATGCCATTTTCAACCCAATTTTAAATGTTTCGTGCATTTGTCATTCTAACTAAAGAAGAGAAGAACTAAAAGACATATGAAAGAGAGCGAAAACCCTAACTTTATCGTCCATTAATTTAAAAAATACGACATTTCCGAGGTATGTGTATTGTCTTTAAATGTACCTCACGATAAATAGATACATACAATCACCAATAGATGTAAATTAATTTCCTTGTCATCTCTACTCTCGATTTAAATAAAGTCCACAACAATAAAAAATTTTATATGCATTTTGTTAGTATTTGTTCATCGACATTCAACATGTTTATGCTACGTTTGTCCCAGAAATCCCGCGAGATTTGTACATTCTCCGCCTTTTAACAAAAGAGCGCACTAAGAACTAATATGTTTTACGGTGTGACCGTTGGGGCGAGCGCAGTTGTACCATCAAAAACACTTGAGATCAGCCACTTCGAACGTCAAGCCGCACGAGACATCTCGACTAGCTGTGACGTCATACGACGTCACAAAGCTTGTCGGAGCTTGCGGAGACAGCCGAGCGTCTGTTTGAAACTATAGAACTAGTGCAATTTTTGTCGAAAAACATTGCACAGTTATTTCTTGTTTCTTCGAAAGATTTCTACAAACGGAAAGTCTGATATATGCTTTACGTTATTATTTATTTATTTTTTCGGCAATATTCGCGCAAAGGACATTGGGTAGTGCAGGAATTCTGGGAATGTTTCACAACAAAATTTGCTTGACGTATGTACAATTCCGAATTTCCTCTGTTCTTACACGTTAGTCTATTGAGCTCGCTTCGCGAGCGTCGCTTCGCACGCTATAACTCTTCAATAGTGGAAATAGAACGTATTGGGGATTTAACAATAAAAATGTAAGCTTATTTATCACGTTGCCATAAAACATAATTATTATAGAATGAATGTCATCATTATTCAACATATTGCTGGGAAACTCCGAATGACAAATAGTGTTAATCAGATTTAAAATTTATTTTGTTGACACTATTACCTGAGTAACATTGATTAAGGTGTAGAAGCGACCCGTAGAAGTCGTTTTCTTTGTTAGTGGAAACACAAGCTTCTGGTTTTCTGCTTCTATACAACTGGAAAAATATTTTTTTTAAAATTCAGAGTAAGCACTTTCTAAATTGATTCTGTTGGATCTGTCGATGTCTATAAAATGTAAGCTGATGCTATTTTAGAATTTATTCTTACCTGGGATAGTACTTATGTTTGCCTTTCGTCATCGAGTCACATATTTCTTTAAAACCAACACTGACCATGCAGGAGGCAACAAGCATGAGAAATGTCACCACTGAGTTCAGCAGGATAAATGGGAAAACCCACATCTGTGACCTAAATCCAATCCATAGATTTTGTACAGAGAAACCTGTCTAATCCAACATCCACTGGGAGAGGAATTTTACGTCGGAATAGACAGAATGTAGGATAAGACAGTGTACAAAAACATAAAAAATGGTAAAATGGAAATACAATTTAACGTCAGAATTACGGATTACACAGGTGTAGAATTAGACAGTTTTCACTGTATTTTAACAAAATATGTTTTTGTGTGTTTCTTTTACTTTGTAAAATACAAAAAAAGAAATATTTAATTGACTTTTTTCTTTTCTTTTTGAAATAGATTTTAAATATATGGATTGATTATATATTGTTTAAAGTCCCTCTCGAAAATTTTCTACTCATATGGAAACGCCATCACTCGGCGGTGGTGAGCTGCAAATTTTTTCGTATACTCGGCACTTAGGGCCACTGAGCAGGGAGGGATCTTTTTTGTGCCAGCACGTACTGCGACGCGGAACCTCGGTTTATATCTCATCCGAAAGACCAGTCACAACGTCACACAGGGAGATTCGAACACGCGACGTAAGGATCAACTCCTTTCTATTTTAAATAAAATACACAAGTTTGAAATATTAACATGTCATATCAGCACCCAAAATAATGTTGTATTGTATTTCTTCATGAAAATAATAGAATAGAAAAACTAAGTTTAATTTCTATACAGTTGATACCAGTGTGCCGATTATGAAAACATATTTCTTAGAGAACAATTATTATGACACATAAAACAGAAGTTTAGCCCTTCTAAAAGTTGGGAGAGAGAGAAAGAGAGAGAGAGAGAGAGAGAGACTCACACAATGGATGGGTCCCTCTTGGCTTTATAAATGGTGTACGAGTTGTACATCGCTATTCCAAGAGCGTAAAAGATGCAAAAAATTACGCCACTGTAGATTGGGAATTCACAGTTGGATTTGTTGCTATACACCAAAAAATATCGGTATTTATGGGAGCTATCTGGTTTGAGGTTGGCGTACAGCAAACAACCGCCTGAATTTATCTGTTAAAAGACGTATAAGATGAAATAAAATGAATGACGTATGTAAAAGGTATTTCACTTTGATACTTAATTTAATTGCTAAATTTGAACAAGGAAAATCAGTACAGAATGCAGGAGAAAAGAACAAAATGCCAAATTTTTCATTCACTAAAGAAACTCTCTGTTCGATATCCTATGTTTAAAGTGTATCTGTGTCATTTCACCTCTACAGGGTATGTTTTATTGAAATTGTCTTATTTTACCACCTTCAGGTAATACATAGATCTATAAATATTGATAAAGGTATGCATGTTTATTTTGCAAACCAGTAAGAAAAAAATTATTTAGTGTTAATAGAACAAAATATAATTTTCATTTATGTGCATGCACTCAACCATCTAACACATGGATGGCTTAGAGTGAATGTGTATTAATTTGGGTTCCTTTGAAAAAAGCCAAGTACTGTTTATTTGGAAGTTAACATATCTTTGAGAAAAAAAAAAAACAATGCAGATAATAGATCATACGGTAATTACATTATATGCCTTATGAAAAGCACAACTTTTACATGTACACTGAAACTAAAAATCTTTGTTTCTAGTACCCTTATATCGAATCATTTGCCAACGAGAAAATAAAAAAAAAACTGTAGCAATATGTAAACAAAATTAACATGTTTTGGTTTTAAAAAAATATTTGAAATGTTATACTTACTGCACATGTGTAATGTATCTAAATTGTATACACTGTACTTACACGTGAAACACCAAGTGGAATTGAAATCGCAAAACCACAAACAAAAATAACGAAATAAACAAAAATATTAAACGACAACAGAAAGTTTGATACAGCCATGTCGGTTTTCATCAGGAATGAAAATGACTTAAAATTTAATTGATGAGTTATTAAAAATTGGTCACTTATCATATAGCAATAATGTTGATTAGGGGGCGTGTTTCTTAAGAGAGGTAAAGCAGTTTACAATTTGACGGATACTCTGATTGAACAGGTTTGTTTTACACTTTCGCTGTTTTTTTTTTTATTTTGAGTGCTAGTATTTTGAGTACTAGTATTGCGAGTTTCCATTAACACCTCTCTAAAAAATTATGCTTCCTATACAAGACTATCCTATGCAATATTTTCAACCGATTTCTATTCCTTATAAATATTTTTTAATTCATGGAAGATAGAGCAGGCTGTCAAGTTAATGATAATTTAATCTGTTTATTAAAACAATAAAATGCTTTCTTTGTTTGTTATTACTGGACTTAACGGATGCAGCTGTTGCAGAAAAAATACATATATGTAATTTTTTCTGTAATAGCTGCGACCGTTAATTCCAGTAATAAGAAACAAAGAAAGACATTTTATTGTTTATATTTATATCTGTTTAAGGGGATGAAGGACCTTTAATTAGCTGAAAAAATACCTGTCATTTAATTTTTTTCATATTTTGTATATATCTTATTTAGCATGTCCTACATACTATAAAGCAGACATATCAATAGGTTTCTAGACTTATTTCTGAGATATTGAGTGACAAATACCATACCCCACAGTGTCTGAGCGGAGTTTTTATTCTCCGTGTTTCTGGGTCCATTACTCGGTCGATAATTGAAAATTTTCACCATAGATAAAAAATATACCAGCGGAAATGTGTCTTTTAAAATATTTTAGAGTATGAATAGGGTTAAAAATTCGAAAAAGCAAGATTCTTTTGTAACACCACATCTGGAGACGGAAATTTACGACTGTTTTAGGACAACTTAAACCATAAAAAAATTAATTTGCAAAAAACCTATCATTCAATATTTGAAAATTTACGTCGAAGTTCAAGGTCGTCATTGTATTGATTAACTATAAAAATATCGATTGATGAAGCTGAGCTCAATATTGCACGGGGCAAAGTTAAACGAGTCATGATCATGAGAAAAACGTGTCATGTTTACATTTCTCGAGTACGGGAAAACCCAACTATGACGTCACACATTCCTGAAATAAGCGAAATAAGACAAACCCACAGAACTTTTCCGTCAACAACAATGTAAAAATATTTTTTGCGTTCTGAAATTTACAAAATACCCTACTATGTACATATAATGGCCCGTTTTTATACTACCCGTTTTTACCGTGTATGATCTAACTGAACTAAGAGATCCACTATGACGTCAAAGACGCACTGGACGCGCAGAGTAGGGAAACGGCAGAGTGGATTAATCTATTCCGTAATTTGATAATATTTGCAAGAAATTTTGAATGTTTTCAGATATTTTTATACTAGATGGTGAACTCAAACAAACAGTCAAAAAAATTATACAAGTACTGTGGTTTCAATCTCGTTTTGTACATATTTTATCAGAGATTATGACGTAAATCAACTGAGTCACGTGACCATACATCCTTCATCCCCTTAAATAATCAGTTTAAGTAGTTTATGCACTGATTAACTATTGTAATATGTTTTACGGTGTGACCGTTGGGGCGAGCGCAGTTTATTTACTATCATAAACCTACACATGTACTGTCCATCATTCAAGAAAAAGAAAGCAAAAAGAATAAAACAAAACAATAAAAAGAAATCATTTCCCAAGCATCGGGATCGAGATTCCAAACTTCTCGGAAGTTTCCGACAAAATCGGAAATACCCGAACCGTTGAAGTGACGAAAGTATGACGTCAGATAAAAAGTTCTGTTGACTTAGGACGCAAACGCTAGTTTTATGGAAAAGAGATTGCATTAAATCGTTCTTTTCAAGTAAGCTGTTGCTGTGTTTTAGCCACCATGTTGCTATGCACCGCAACATGTTTTCCGAGTTTCACGGAAGCAACCGACATAACTTCGTCAAAATTCGTAAGTTTCCGGTGACGTCATTTGTATCATTTCCGAAGGGCAAGGTGAAGGCCGGTGTTGTGGCATGGGGGTATTTTTTTGAATAAGGTAAGGCAAAATCATTTCGTTAAGATTTCGGTAAGAAACAATGTTCCTTTAATTTTTTTACTATTTTTGATTTATTTGCGCAAAGAACATTGGGTAGTGCAGGAATTCTGGGAATGTTGCACAGAGAAATTTGGCTGACGTATGTACAGATTTCAATCCGAATTTCCTCTGTTCATACACGTTGGTCTATTGAGCTCGCTTCGCGAGCGTCGCTTCGCGACGCTCGCTGCGCTCGCTATTAATGATGCGAACGACTTTATACGTTTCATTGATGGAACAGCCACTGATCAAGAAATCTGTACACGCGACATGCCTAATGTAGTTCATGCAGTGATTAACGCAATGGGTTTTTAAAAGAAATAAAGGAGTAAATATTCAGTAGTTGCAAATATATTCGAACTCTCTAAAATTGTTTGGATATTTTTAGCATGTTTATCTGATTCAAACGCTTCTCGAATATTTATGTCGTTGAACAGTACTCTCAAGGTGAAAATGTTTTTAAAATGTTTTTCATAGATATACTTTATTTACATAAATATTGAACTCCTTAAAAATCATTGAGATATTTTTAAAGGAATAGGGTTTATATATATTTGGGGTAATTATTCTTACTGTGAAATCACAATTTTTCTTTGGGGGATAGTTCTCGTGGTTTTCGAGGAATGAAGGGACCCAAGAATTCCTCTTCTACCACGAAATGCATTTTTTCACATAAATCAATACTGAACATTTCCTAAATCACGAAATCAAGTCCCCATGAACTAATATATTTTATACACAAGGTACAACACAACCGAGTACATTTTCCTTCTCGCCCATTAAGGAAGATTTTGTCAATAAAAATATTTAAAAAATCAATGTAAAAAAGGCTACAGGTATATATATTGATGGAATTTCTCCAAAACTTTTGCAGATTCCTAATCCAGTTATCAGTAAACCTTTGACCAAAATAATTGATTTATCCCTGGTAACATCAACTTTTCCTGATAAGCTGAAGATTGCTCAGGTTACTCCAATACACAAGAAAAATAGTACCTTAGAGAAGGGTAACTATAGACCAGTGAGCGTCCTCCCAACAATATCAAAACTTTTCGAAAGAGCAATAGAAACGCAGTTAACAAACTTTTTTAATGACATTTTTAATCCCTTTTTATCAGCTTTTCGGTCAGGTTTTGGATGTCAGTCTACTCTGTTGAGAGTTATTGAAGACTGGAAATATGCCCTGGATAAAAATGAATACACTGCAGCCATTTTAATGGATCTTTCTAAGGCCTTTGATTGCCTTCCCCATGAACTACTTCTTTTGAAGCTAAAAGTCTATGGACTATCTGAATCAGCACAAGAAATGCTTTATAGCTACCTCTCACATAGAAAACAATGTGTTAAATTAGGGCACCATGTTAGTGACATGTTAAACATCATTAAAGGTGTCCCACAAGGATCTATTTGGTCCCCTGCTATTTAACATATTTATGAATGACCTATTTTGCTTTGTAGATAAATGTAACCTCTACAATTATGTAGATGATAACACCATATCAAAGTCTTATAAATCTCTAGAACAGGTGGTAGAAGCTTTAGAACATGATAGTAGATCTCTCATTACATGGTTTTCTTCAAATAAAATGCAGGCTAATCCTGAAAATTTTCAGGCAATTTATATTGGAAATAAAACACAAAGTTAAAACATTGTGTTTGATTTAAATGGAATCAAAATTCCTTGTGAGGATGAAGTTAAGCTGCTAGGTATAACCATAGACTTTAAGTTGTCTTTTGATACACATATTACAAATATGTGCAAAAAGGCTGCAAGGCAATTAAATGTTCTTAAACGGTTAGGAAAGCACTTAACTAAGTTAGGAAAACTTACAATATATCACTCTTTTGTCATGTCAAATTTTAGTTATTGCCCCTTAACATGGCATTTTTGTACTGAGCAAAACACTCGCAAAATAGAGAAAATTCAGGAAAGAGCATTAAGATTTATTTATGAAGATTATAAAAGTTCTTATGAAAGTCTTTTACATAAATCTAAACTACCATCATTGAAAACCAAAAGAATGCGTGCCATTGCTTTAGAAACCTTTAAAATTATCCAAGGTTTAAGTCCCGTCTTTTTGCAAGATCTGGTTGTTTTTAAAAATAATTCATACAATTTTAGATATACAAATATTGCAGAGGTCCCAAGACCAAGAACAACAAGGTATGGGATGAAATCATTTAGGTATGAGGCAGCAAAGCTCTGGAACTCTCTGCCCAATGAAGCCAGGCAATTCTCCTCTTATAATCAATTTTCAAATTATATTTCAATTTGGTGCGGAGAACTAAATTGTAAATGCAGCTCCTGTAGACTTCAGACTTCTATGCCTCATACCTAATGCTTAGTTTTATAGATGATCGTCTTAAGTTCTTATTTATTTATTTATTTTTTTTTTTTACAGTTTTGTGCTTTCTAAACCTTTCCTCCTTTTATGTATGCATGACATTTGTTTTATGTACATGTTGTTTTCTTATGTTGACTCTTTTATTTTTTTTGTGTGTTGCTCAAATGTTTTGTCTTTTATTTCTTTCTTTTCATGTCTGTTTATCAATGTCGTTGGTTACACTTGTGTGTTAAAGAACTTCTGTCTTTGTGAAATTTTAATGTGATATTTGTGCTCTTATGTGTATATATGTACATTTTATTATAAATATGTTTTTATGTTCCTAGTCGGTAAAAGAGCTTTATAGCTCAAGTTCTTTGTTATGTGTATGTAGATCGACTATAAATAAAATTTACTACTACTTACTACTTCAAACTACTACAACTTGGACCCCTCGAAAACATGTGATTTTACAGTATACATTTACTCTAAAAATCCCAGACTCACATTTCCTCCTCTGCTAGCTCTTATGATCCGTGGATATAAGTTTGAATTTTGAAAATCAATGCCGTGTCCTTTTTAATTGTTCCCAGAAACAAGTTCATTCAGATTTTGTTCCGCATAATTTTTTATGTTGTCCTAGGTACGAAAAGACCGATTCCGGCAGTGTTCTCACCACTAATTAATGTAAAAATACATAGATTTAAATCTTACGAAAGCAATTACACAACAATTACAACATTCAACATTTCCTGCGGAAACAGATGTTGGCCATATACATGTATTATACCATTATTGTGCAAAAAAAAATTCTTAATATAAACGTATCGAAGATTTGAAATTAATTTTAATACGGAAATTCGCCTTTGCAGAGCGGTTTAGCTTTTTGTACATTTTATTATATATTATACATATATTACGTCAGAAACATGATATTCAATTTTAAAATTAAATATATATACATATATATTTTATCACATTTCAAATATTTAAAGGACGAAAAGAGTATTTTTTTTAAAATTAATTTATGAATGAACTGAGCGAGATTCAGTATATGGTATTTTATATGGATTAAAGTGAGTATTTTGAAAAAAAAAAATATATATATACTAGTAGTTTTGATTTTGGTGTTTCTTCAAAATTTTAAAATATGTGCCTAATTTGTGGAAAAAGGCGGCAACTTTGGATTTTTCGAAAAAAGATGGCAATGGAAGGGCGACTTATCTTCTCTGAACATGTTTTCAGAATAAGGCATTTTCATATACTGGATATCAGGTGCTTCCTTAACGTATTTGATGTTGAAAATTTAGCAGCATTACTTAAGGTCTTTCCTTCTTCACTTCTCTAATGGTTTGAAATGCAACAAAATGCTCTTTTCGTTTAATATTATTACAAAAATGTTTACTAGTAGGTTGCCATATCTAATATGGGAGAAATACACAAACGTATATGTTAATACATCTGTAACAATTGAAAAATCTGACATTTTTTGTCTAATTATAATTATATTAATTAACGGCATAGTTTATTTTGCATATTTACCGTACATGTATAAGTGGAAATTTTAGCAAGACGCAAATTTAGCGATTTGTCCTTAAAAATTGCTAATTTATTTTTAGCGAAATGTTGTATTAGCGATTTTAAAATGCACAGTTAAGAAGCCATTACAAATAAAACGCAATTAATTTTTAGCGATATTCAATTTTAGCGATCTCTGCACCCTCGCTAATAATGCCAAAAATTCTACTTATACGGTATTTTATTTTGCATTTTTCATTTTGAAAATTAAGCATTAACATATTAGAATCATTAATTAGTGGCAGAATCAGGTATAAACTGAAAGCAGGGTTACATAGAAACAGAAAAGAGATGATAATGAACATCTATCTATCTATATAATCAGTAATAAAGAAAAAGAATGCTAAAACTCCAAAAGTTTCCATATCATGGCTGTCATACATGTACGTCCTTTCATCTGTGAGATACATGTAAGTACTCATTCAATGAATGACTCAAAGTTTTACTTCATCTGATAATGATGTCATGAAGTCTATGACGTTAGTGATTATATACGTCATATATGACGTAGATTCTTCACTTCGACGTCTGTTCTGTACTGGTTGGGTTCATTGACTTCTTGACGTGCATGCGTTTTCTGGCGCCTATTGAGTACAAATTGGACAATTCCGAAAATCACCAGCACCAGCCAGCAAACTGTACAAATCCATGAGGCATTCTGAAATTGAAGAAAAAAAAACAAAACAAATTGACTGAGCTAATTTATTGTTATTCAAAAGGTAATATTCACTTTCATAATTTGGTTCAATCATTCCTAGAGCTCTTTCTGATTGACGGAGATCCAGAAAATACAATTATCCTTTTTGAGTGAATATAACAAATATTTTTTTTTTTACATTTGACTTAAAATAGATTGAGACCTGAACTTAGTCTTCAAAATTAAGGAAATAAGTATATAAAGAATAATTATTTCAACTGCAACCTTTTTCCATTCGGTTGAAAAATAATATATAAGTAACTGAGACGTTTTGAAAGGCCACTCTTTTTTAAATTCAGTATACTCAAATGATTCCGATATTCATGTACTCCAATCACAAAACTAATATTTGGAGTTTTCCAGGCTAATTTTACGGTTTCTCAATAACATGAAACATGTAGAGATAACGAACAGTATTCAAGATCGTAAGTCCATAAAACAATACAAAACAGGAACATAGGAAACACAAGCCTCCAAAAATAAATCAGAGATGGGATCGGGCGCCATGGAGGAGTGAGCATCTGCTGTGTGCTCCTTGTCATGATCAGGAAATAACAGAAAAATCCGTCGTCAATTCAGTGTATAAAAAATAGAAATCATATAACATAAAGCTGTACTTTTTCTCATGATGGAATCTTTAACGAATTTATTACAGTTGATGTGACCACTTTTCATTACATAGTTTCATTGTGAGAAACTGGAAAACAAGAGCTATTCGAGACTCTGCATTAAAAATGAATGGTAAAGAATAAGTAAACTAGAGTGATATTTAACACTTCATTAAATCTGCTGTAAAACTCGACAAGAATCCCACAAAAATATTCACTGGAATAGTCGTGACACTTACAACAAGCAATGTTTGTATTATAGACACATGAACAGGTGCATTTCAATAACAAAAATGACATGATGGGCATAAAAAATGGGTACCGTCCTTGGCGACAATAACTTACAACAACCAGTGTGCTGTTTGCTACAATTCAATAAATTATCACCTACGATCTATATATTATTGACTTTAAATTACATAGCAAAATTGATAGGCAACATTTTGGGGGTAGTTTACACTGTTTTTTAAGAAACATTTGACAGTTAAAAGCTTAGTGCTTAAATGTCACCCTATGCTTTGAAAAATGAGTGGAAACGACTGCGCGATAGAATATCTAGATAATTATTTTTAAAACATCAAAAATTAAAGTTATGAACGTTTGTCTGAAATTCAAACAGAAAGTGAAACTTGAATCCATTGCTTGAAACCCTCAAAACAAATTTACAATAAGATGCAGCGGACAAAAATAGCCAAAGTCTGAGAAGACCACAAAGAGATAAAAACCACAAAAAGTGTATTATGCCTTTATTTAAATATAAGTGATCTCGTTCTTCAAATTCTCATTCAGGGAGGCGGTTCAATTTCTGGAGAAGTCTAAAAAGTTTTGTTTTTTTTGCAAAAAGATGTCGAAATGTTTACGAGCAGGAGGAACCAAAAGCAGGAATGCAGGAATGCACTACATTAAATGCCTTCATGACAATGTCCAAACTCACACATCATGAAGGGTAAAGGAGACAGGTAATTGATCTTTTCTCACACCAGCAATATTTTTAAGATCTTTCACCCTTTGGCTTGTTTCATTTTCTAAACTTGAAGAAAACATCATTCAGAAAGATGAAACAAGTCTGGGAAATCATAAGATCTGCCATAATCCAGTATACGAAGGGCCATACTCAAAAATGTGTTCGAAAAACAATCAGAAGCTGTATATAATTGTTACCGACATATGTTTTAATTAAAAGAGAATATTTAAGTTAAATAATCGAGACTAAATCAATGAATAGCGTTTTTTTTCCTTTTTGAGCACTGAGGACATTATTTATTGAACAGTTCTCGTACAATTGTTAATTGACAATACGTCGACGATATATCTGAATGTCAAGTTGAAGACGACAGCAAGTGTTTTCTTCTTTTCACGCATAAGATTTTGCACAAATTCTGCATCATATAAATACAAAACTAGATCTGCAAACAACAGGGCGCAATTGGTACCTATGGGAATTCTAATAGATTGTTGGAAGTCGTCCTGGTCGCAAAAAACAACATAGATATTGTCAATCAGAAACTCAAGCATCTTTTTGATGTCGACTTCAGACTATTAAAACATCAAAACCGTAATAAAAAGACTGAAAAACGTCAGATATTTCATACTAACCCGAAACCAGGAGAATTTTACTCTTTTTTTGCTAATTTTTTTTCAAAGTTAATTTTGTAACTAAAGTAAGAATGCAGACGATAGAGGTTCAATTCTATATAGGGGGATTTAACAATAGAAATTTGAACTAGTTCATAAAGTCACGATAATTATTAAAAGTATGTCATCATTTCTCAACATATTGCTGGGAAATTCCGAAAGACAATTCTTGTTAATTTGATTTAGTTTTTATTTGGTAGACACGATTACCTGAGTATTATTAATTAAGGTGTAGAAGCGTCCCGTAGAAGTTGTTTCCTTTGTTGGCAGTAACTGAAGATTCTGATTTTCTGCTTCTATACAACTGGAAAATATAAATTCTGAGTAAGCACCGTTACAAAACATATGGCTTTGTAAATGATTTAGTGTGTAAGGAGAAACTTTTACAGTATTAATTTTTACCTGGGATAGTACTTGTGTTTTGCTTTCGTCAATGAGTCACATAATTCCTTAAAACCAACACTGACCATACAGGAGGCAACAAGCATAAGAACTGTCACCACTGAGTTAAGCAAAATAAATGGGAAAACCCACATCTGTGACCTGAATATAACACAGGGGTTCCATACAGCATTAACCCTATCTGAGATTCTAATAAAAATTCTCATCAAATAAAGATTAGTATCAATGTTTTCATAGCACATGTATTTTGAATAAAAGCGTCTAGAAATTTACGACATTGAAAACACAATAACATGGATGCGTTGCCTAAAGGAAAAAGGTTACGTTTTATTTTGACGTCACAAATGTTGAACACCTTGGAAGTGCAACGTCAAAAACGAAAATCAAGCTCACATTGAACAGAAACTGTTGCGTTGGCTCTTCCATCAACAATAGCTTATCCGAAGGATAATGCATTCACGAATTTAATTCGATATTTTAGTCGATTATTTTTACACTTGGCGAAGGATTTTTCCGTTATTTCCCGATCATGACAAGGAGCACACAGCTGGTGTGACTGGTCGACAGGGGATGCTCACTCATCCATGCTACTTGATCCAGCCTATAATGATTTGTAGGTATGTGTTTTCTCTGCTCGTATTTTTTTTTACAGATTTATGGACTTTAATATTGAATGCTGTTATTTATCTTCATGTCTTTCATGGATTTTGAAACATAAATCACATTTGCAGTCAATGCAGAGAGTTCAAAAATATCAATATAAACATTAAAGCATTATTTTATTGTTAAGATAAAGTCTGCATCGGTGTGTGCAAACAAATTGAGTAACGCGCTAATTATATATTGAAAATAGCTTAATATAGTTGATATCAGTTTTTCGATTATCAAAATATAATTTAGTTTTGTTTGTACTCTAGTTTCTCATTGGTTGATTTCCAAAAAGGAACGCAAATTATTTCTCAATAACCTGGTTTGGTATGGGGACACACCCACTTGACAACCAGCTGAATCATCTGTATGCATGCAATCCCCTCATTTCCAGTCCTTGGGGTACATGGAAAATTCCAGATTTAATAAATGTACCTTTTACTTCAAACAGTAGCTCGATCTTACCCCGTGTAAACAAACATCATGGCTGCTAGATCTGTGTATCAGTTATTACCTCCCCTTGTTTCATATCATTTTCCTTTCTAGGGGTGTATTATTGAGCGGCAAATTTGAAGTTGTTTAATTATTCTAAAATTAAATTATAAGTAATGACTCTAATTTGTGGCCAAATTATTCAATTATAACCTGATTTGGGTCAGTTTACGCTTTTTTATCGTGGATTATAAAGGGTAAACTGACCCATACCAGATTATAATCGAATAATTTGGCCAAGAATTAGAGTCATTCTTAAAATATATTTCTAGTAAAACACAAATAAAAGACACGCAAACTAACATTTTAGCCCTTTTACATGTTCTAAACATTGAGAGAGAGAGTGAGAGAGAGACTCACACAATGGATGGGTCCCTCTGAGCTTTATTAATGGTGTACAAGTTGTAAATCGCCATCCCAAGAGCGTAAAAAATGCAAAAAATTACACCACTGTAGATCGGGAATTCACAATTGAATTTGTTGCTATACACCAATAAATATATCCCGGAGTTGTAAGGTTTAAGGGTGGAGGACAACAAACAACCGCCTGAACTAATCTGTGAAAAGACGTATAAGATGAAATAAAAAGATTGGCGTATATGATAGGTATTTCACTTTGATACTCAATTCAATTGCTAAATTTGCAAAATAAAAATCAGGAAAACAATGCAGGAATAAAAGAACAGAATGCCAAATTTTACATTCACTAAAGAAACCCTCTATTCGATATGCCTATGTCAAAAGTTTATCTGTGACCTTTCATCTCTACAGTGTATATTTATTGAAATTGTATTATTTTACCAACATCGGGTACAACATAGATCTATAAATATTTGATATACGTATGCAGGTTTGTTTTACAAATCAATCAGAAAAATTTAAGTTAATGTTAGTAAAAAAAATGTAGCTATATAGTTTTCATATACAATATTCATGTTATCTAAATTGTATACAATGTACTTACACGTGAAACACCTAGCGAATTTGAAATAGCAAAACCACAAGAAACAATTACGAAATAAACAAATATATTAACCAACAACAGAAAGTTTGATACATCCATGTCGATTTTCCTCAGTAAAGGAAATGACTAAACATTTAATTGATAAGTCATTAAAAATTGGTCACTGATCATGCAACAATAATGTTAATTAGGGGGCGTGTTTATTAAGATCGGTAAAAAGTTTACAATGTGACAGAAACAGTGATTATTGTATACAGGGAAATTTTCGCCCCTTTCGCCCTTGTCTGACGTGGGCGAATTTTAAACGGGGCGAATCCAAAGTAAACTATATAATATCTTAAATAAAAATCTTTTTGGGCGAATTTAAAACGGGGCAAACTTGTTTTTAGATGTGAAAGGGCGAAAGTAACACGGGGCGAAAATAACCCTGTATACAGTAAACAGTCTAGGTTACACTTTTGACATTTTTATTTTGAGTATTGATTTCCATTAACACCTTTTTTAAAATCTACATTTTCGAATTCTATATAAGACTATCCTATGTACTATTTCAACCAATTTCTATTCTTTATAAATATTTTAAAATTCCTTGATGATGGAGCAGGCAGACAAATTTATTAAGGAATGACTCTAATTCTTGGCCAAATTATTCGATGATAACCTGGTTTGGGTCAGTTTACGCTTTATAATGCGCGAAGCGGATTATAAAAAAGCGTAAACTGACCCAAACCAGGTTATCATCGCATAATTTGGCCACGAATTAGAGTCATTCCTTATAATTTAATTCTAAAATAATTAAACAACTGTGGGTGTAAAATTGTGTTGCTTTTTATGAGTTCAAATTTGCTGCTCAATAATACATCCCTAGTAACGGAAGTGATATGAAACAAGGGGAGGTAATAACTGATACACAGATCTAGCAGACATGATGTTTGTGTACATGAGGTAAGATCGACCTACTGTTTGAAGTGAAAGGTACATTTATTAAATCTGGAATTTCCCTTAAATCCCAAGGACTGGAAATGGGGGGATTGTATGGATACAGATGATTCAGCTGGTTGTCAAGAGGGTGTGTCCCCATACCAAACCAGGTGTAAATGTATTTTTAAAATGAGTATGGTTTATATTTATTTTATATTATAATACTAATATGCTTATACATTTACTCTAAAAATCCTAGACTTACATTTTTAAATCTCCTCTTATAATCCGAGCATATAAGTTTGAGTTTTGAAAATCAATGTAAAGTGTCCTTTTAAATTATTCCTAGAAACAACTTCATTCAGAGTTTGTTCCGCATAATTTTTTATATAGTCCTAGGTACGAAAAGACCGATTCCGGGAGTGTTCTCACCACTAATTAATGAAAAAATACATAGATTTAAATCTTACGAAAGCAATTGCACAACAATTACAACATTCAACATTTCCTGCGGAAACAGATGTTCGCCATATACATGTATCATACCGTTATTGTGCGAAAAAAATCTTAACATAAACATATTGAAGATTTGAAATTAATTTTATTACCGAAATCCGCCTTTGCAGAGCGATTTAGCTTTTCGTACATTTTATTATATATTATACATATATTACGTTAGAAACATGATATTAAATTGTAAAGATAAAGATACATATTTTTATAAGATTTCAAATATTTGAAGGAGGTAAAGAGTTTTTATAAATTTAATTTACAAATGAACTGAACGAGATTCAATATATGGTACTTTATGTGGACTTAAGTGAACGTGTTTAAAAAATATAATACAGTTTTTATTAATGTTTGGGTTTCTTTAAACATGTTGATTACAATATGTGGCTAATTTGTGGGACAAGGTTGTCAGGTTTTTGGGAAAAGTTTGCATTGGAATGGCGACTTCTTTGAACATGTTTTCAGAATAAGGCATTTTTATATACTGGATATCGTGTGCTTCCTTAAGGTATTTGATTTTAAAATTTAGCAGTATTACTTAAGGTCTTTCCTCCTTCACTTTCTTAATGGTTTGAAATACAACAAAATGCTTTTTTGGTTAAATATTATTACAAAAATATATAGGTTGCCATATTTAATATGAGAGACATAGATTAAAAGACTTATTTGTCAACACATATGTAACAATTGAAAAATCCGCCATTTTTGCCTAATTATAATTATATAAATTAATGGCATGTTTTATTTTGCATTTTTCATTTTAAAAATCAAGCATAAACATATGAGGATCATTTATTAGTGGTAGAAGCAGGTTTAAACAGAAAGCACGCTTATATAGAAACAAAAAAGAGCTGATAATGAACATCTATCTATCTTTATAATCAGTAATAAAGAAAAAGAATGCTAAAACTCCGAAAGTGTCCATGATATTATGGCTATTATGGTTGTCATACATGTACGTCCTTTCACCTGTCAGATACATGTAAGTACTCATTCAATGATCGACACAAAATATGATGTCATGAAGTCTATGACATAAGTGATTGTGTACATCATATTTGACGTAGATTCTTCACTATGACGACTGTTCTGTACTGGCTCTGTTAATTGACTTCATGACGTGCATGAGTTTTCTGGCGCCTATTGAGTACAAATTGGAAAATTCCAAAAATTACCAGCGCCAGCCAGCAAACTGTTAAAATCCATGAGGCTTTCTGAAATTGAAGAAAAAAAACAAAGCAAATTGACTAAGCTAATTTATTGTTATTCAAAAGGTAACACTTACTTTCATAATTTGGTTGAATCATTCCTAGAGCGCTTTCTGAGGTATCATCAGAGGTTGGATCAGGTACCATGGAGGAGTGAACATCTCCAGCCGACAGTCACACCCGCCGTGTGATTGAAAAACTTCAGTCAGCATTTGACTCAATGATAAATTAAATTTGCTGTTTCAGTTCAACATTTTATTGAACGACATAAAGTGATGACGTAATGCACAAGTACACAAAAGGGTCAGACTAATTAACATACATAACATCCTAACATCTCCCTTCCTTTGATAATGAATGGCAATTACAATAAAAATTCATTTACAAGTTTAAACATTAGACAATATCAATCAAAATGTTCCTGCTATGTAAACAAATCTTGAAACATAAAGCATCAGTATTTCTGCATTATAGAAATAAAAACTGAATTACAGCACACATGTAAATTTTCACATGAAACTTTCTGCATTTGAAAAAGTTCAGTAAAATAATTGCAAAACAGAAATTAAACTTTTCACAAATATCAAAATCACAAAACATAGTCCTCGAGTTTTTTGGTAACCTTGGTGCACGCGAACTTGTTCGGCGGTTAACTGGGCTGGCGGTAACGGTCTTTGGTTCACTCGGCTTTTGAGGAGTTGGTGTTTTGGTAACTTTATGGTCTTTCATTTTGGGTTTTTCGGAAGTTACTGAGGGAGCATCAAGTGAATCCTCAAATTCTGGAATAAACGACGGAGTGGTGGCATCATATGGCTCGTTTGTTGCGCGAAGGTCTCTTCGGTTTCGTCGATATTGTTTATTGTTGATATCTACGATGTAAGAGCGATTTCCACACACATACCGTAATTCCATTTCTTTTCTGTATGATGTTTCATGCGGACTGGTTGACCAATTTCGAGTTCTGGTAGTTCCTTAGCAGTTTTGTCATAGTAGAATTTGGCCTTTTGTCGCTTGCACTTAACTTTATTCGCTACATCGTCCACAAGTTTGGGCTGGAGTAGTTCCGGCGATAAAGGTAAGGAATGTCGAGTCCTTCGTGATATGAGTCGTTGTGATGGACTACTGGCCATGTCCACTGTTGGGGTGTTCCTCCAATCTAAGACGCATTTCCACAGGTCGTCTCCATTCTTCTTAGCCTTGCGCACCATGTTCTTTGCGATCTTCACCGTTGCTTCTGCTTTCCCGTTTGACTGACTATAATACGGGGAGGAGGTTATATGCTGAAACTCCCAATTACATGAAAAATCATGAAAGTCTGTTGATTTAAACTGCGGACCGTTGTCGGTAATTACAACATCTGGTGTTCCGTGACGTGCGAAATGTTGTTTCAAACAGTTGATTACTGTGGTTGCCGTGGTATCTGGAAGAAGGTCGAGCTCAAAGAAATCAGAGTAAAAATCAACTGTGACAAGGTAATCCTCAGTCTTTAGAGTAAAGATGTCAATTCCAAGTTTTGACCATGGCTGGTCTGGAACATCATGTGTCATTAACGGTTCTTTCTGTTGTTTCCGTTGAAACGTGCTGCATGTGCTACACTTGCTGACGAAATCCTTGATCTCTTCATTCATGAGAGGCCAATATAGCGAATCCCTAGCTTTCCGTAGACAAGCCTTAATTCCTAAATGGCTGGAATGAGTGCGGCGTAGCATTTCCGGTCGAAGAGCTTTGGGAATTACAACATGGCTGCTGCGGTAAATAATACCATCTTGTACTGTGAGAGAGTCTCTGACATTCCAATATGGTCTTATTGGAATAGGAACGTCTTCCTTAGTATCAGGCCATCCTGAAAGTATCACTGTCTTTAGTGACTGGGGAGTCTCATCCTTGTTTGTCAAATTTCGGATTTGATTCAGTCTTGAGTCTGTGACCTTTCTAACCCACTCTGCCTGTTGGATGTGTGCTATCTCCTCAGCGAGTTTGGAAGTGTGCTGTCCACGATACTCTGGAGTCGCGCGAGACAAGGTATCTGCGATGAACATTTCTTTTCCTCTAGTATAAACAACATCCAGGTTGTATTTCTGGAGGCGTAGTAACATTCGCTGGAGTCTTTTTGGAGCTGACAAGAGAGGTTTCCTGAAGATCGTTTCAAGAGGCTTGTGGTCTGACTGTACTGTAATGCAATCCTTACCATATATGTAATGGTCAAATCTCTCGCATGCAAAAACGATTGCAAGACACTCTTTCTCTATCTGTGCGTAACACTGTTCAGTTTTAGATAATGCACGAGATGCATAAGCAATGGGCTGTCCATTTTGCAGTAATGTGGCTCCGAGGCCAACTTCGCTAGCATCGCACTGAATTGTGACTTCCTGATGTACATTATAGTATTTGAGTACAGGTTGATGACTCACGAGACGTTTGACATTCTGAAATGCTTCTTCCTGCTGCGATTGCCAAGACCATATGGCTCCTTTGTCTGTGAGACGTCGCAAAGGTTCACAGGTTTCTGATAGGTGAGGTAAGAATCGAGACAAGTATGTTGCTAGACCAATAAAGCGTTGCACTGCTTTCACATTTTCAGGTCTTTTCATGTTTGTAATGGCACTAACTTTGTCCGGATCAGGACGGACGCCTTCTGTCGTAAGTATACTGCCCATGTATTTGACTTCAGTCTGACGAAGTTTGAACTTGTCCTTATTAAGCTTTAGTCCCACCTCACGAGCTCTTTGTAGAACTGCCGTCAAGTTGCGGTCATGATCTCGAATTGCTGATTCCATGGTCTGTCCACAGCCGTAGACTATGATGTCATCCATCACACATTCTGCTCCAGATAGTCCTTCCAACACTTCGTGTTGTCTGCGCTGGAATTCTTCAGGCGCTGATGAAATTCCGAAGGGTAAACGCAACCATCTGTATCGACCAAAAGGGGTCCAGAATGTAGTAAGGAAACTGCTAGATTCATCTAATTTGATGTGCCAGAATCCTTCCTTTGCATCGAGGACGGAGAATACTTTTGCGTTCGCAAGATTCGGTAATATGTCCTCAAGGGTAGGCATGATATAGTGTGGTCGCTTGATAGCTTTGTTCAAGTCTCTGGGATCATTACATATGCTTAGCTTACCAGGTTTTTTCACTGTTAGCATACTACTTATCCAGTCTGTAGGGGTAGTAACTTTTTTGATTACACCTCTGTTCTCGAGATCCTTCAGCTTCGTGTGAATTTCCTGTTTCATGGCTTGATGAACTTTTCTTGGTTGATGCTGAACTGGCTTTACAGTCGGATCAATTTCAATCTTGTACTCGCCTGGGAAAGATCCTAGTCCCTCGAATACATCATGGCATGTGGTTAACAGCTGACTGCGCGTCAGTGGTTCAAAGTTCTTCTCAGCTGATGTATCAACACTGTTCACAATATTCACAGTTAACAGTCCTAACTTTTCACATGCTTCAGCCGAGAGCAATGCTGTTTGATCTGTATCCACCACATAAAAGTTCAGACATTCTGTGTTGCTTTGTACTGAGCAGGTAATGTCAACAGTACCTAAGGGCTCAAGCTTTGATGTTCCACCATAAAGTCGTAGAGCCTTGCTGGTTGGTTTCAATGGCGGACAACCATTCTGGGTAAGAATGCAGTATTGGCAAAATCCAAGAATGTTACATGTTGATCCAGAGTCCAGTTGACAGATAACATCTTGACGAGTTGCGTCGTCGATCACCATGTTGACTTTTGTAAACCACTGTTTACCATGTGTTGTCTTCACTGTGTAACAAGATTCACAATCACAGTAACTGTCATCAGTTTCATCAAGTTGAAGAACAGTCTTGCTAGCACTCTGACACACTGAAGCGAAATGATTTTTCTTTTTGCACTTGTTGCACGTCTGTCCATAAGCCGGACACTTATTTCTTCCTCTTGCATGCTTTCCACCACAGTATTTACATTTGGAATCTCCTTTGCTTTGGTATTTTGGCGGCTTTGTCGAAGACTTTTTCTGCTGCTTCGTGTCTTTCATGTGCTTCTTATTTCCTCTTGCTGCGTAGTTGACTTGAGCTGTATTATTGTTATTTGTGTCACTCTGTCCTTGTCCTTGTAGTTTCTTAAGCTGACTGGAAGTTATCTCACTGGTTCTACACATATCTATGGCGCTGTTAAGTGTGAGCTTCGATTCTCTGAGCAATCGTCCACGAACACTTTGGTCCTTGGTTCCCAGTACTATCCTATCGCGAATCATTTGGTCCATAATATCACCAAATTCACATGTCTTCGCAAGTTCTCGTAGTCTGCACAAGTAATCGTCAAACGATTCATTAGGCATCTGGTCTGCCGTATTAAAAATATATCGTTCATAGATCACATTTGTTTTGGGCATGAAATGACCATCTATTGCTTCTAGTATTTTTTCAATATCTTCTCTGTCTTGAACACTGAGTGGTAAGTTTTCATATATTTGGAAACAGTCTTTACCCATCACTGTCAGTATTGTTGCTATCCGAATAGGCTGCTCCTTCTTGACAAGGCCTGTAGCAATTTCATAATTAGCCCACTGTGATTTGAAAAATTTCCAGTTGCCCCTGATGTCACCTTTCACTAACATAGCGGCTGGTACAGGTAAGTCTTTAGAGGCCATTGTGCTATGACTATGAGTATGAACAGTTCCGTGGCTATGTATGGCAAAAAATGTATGAGTATCAAAGGTACGTCTCATATATTAATGTGGATTAATATTGCATGAGTGTTTCATACAGATATTGTAACACAATGTCAATTCTAAACCATAACAGAAGTATGCGCAGTCTTGGGTAGAAAAAAAATGGCGGCGTGCCAACCACGTGTGATGCTGGGACGTTTTACTTCAGCGAGCAGAAGTGAAGAAAATACAAGGGTTCTCGGGGCTGATCGAGCTACTATACCCGATATCTTGGCTTTGGTTTCTCACAAGTCGTATGGAATTTGTCCCTGCACTGTCCAGTATTCAGGTGTCGTGGCGTATTGCTGAGAGCTCCACTTCTGACACCATGTTTCAGTTCAACATTTTATTGAACGACATAAAGTGATGACGTAATGCACAAGTACACAAAAGGGTCAGACTAATTAACATACATAACATCCTAACATTTGCTGACGAGGTCATTTTATCGACCATAGAACTTAAGAAGTGATGACTTTAAACGAAACTGCTGAAATTCTTGGTTTATCAACTTGTTTGATAATAATGTACCTCGTTTTAGAAATTGTTCATACATGCTCCTGCGTATCGAATCATCTGAGATACATAAACTCGTTATGCAGGTGATGAAGGTTTATTGCTTCAAAAGTAAGGGAAGTTGACTATAGAAATGTTTAAGTCATCACGTTTTTCATAGAGCTTGGTTGTTTGATTATACTAAACATCTTTTTCAAGTGAAAATACCCAAATGTGAAACAGATGTGTCAGACTCTGTGGTATCTTTCATCTGAATATATCACCAGGATATATCGTTTAGACATAAGAATGGAAATTACAATTTTTAATTGACAATACGTAGTAGATATATCTGAATGTCAAGTTGAAGACCACAGCAAGTGTTTTGCGCAAAGTTAATAAGATTTTGCACAAATTCTACGTCATATGAATAAGAAAAAAAGGTCTGCTAATAACGGGGCGCAATTGGTACCCATGGAAATTCCAATAGATTGTTGGAAGACCTGGTCTCCAAAAACAATATATATATTGTTAAACAGAAACTCAAGCATCTTTTCGATGTCGATCTCAGACTACTAAAATATCAAAACTGTAAGAAAAGTCTAAAAAAAAAAAAAATCCGATATTTCATACTATCCCGAAACTAATATTTGTGACAAGGGCATTTAACTCTTTTCTTGCTATTTTTTTTTCTCATATTTTTAATTCAAGTAAGAATGCAGACGATAGAGGAATAATGCTGCATAAGGGGGTTTAACAATAGAAATTGTTGATTAGTTCCTAAAGTCACAATGATAATTAAAGTATGTCATTATTTCTCAACATCTTGCTGGGAAACTCTTGTTAATCTGATTTCGTTTTTTATTTGGTAGTTACGGTTACCTGAGAAACATTAATTAAGGTGTAGAAGCGTCCCATAGTAGTCGTTTCCTTTGTTGCCACTGACTGAAGTTTCTGGTTTTCTGCTTCTATACAACTGGAAAATATAGATTCCGAGTAATCACCGTATCAAAACGGTTTGCTAATGTCCTTGGTTTGTGAGGAGAAACTTTTACAGTATTAATTTTTACCTGGAAAAATGCTTGTGTTTGCCTTTCGTCAACGAGTCACATATTTCTTTAAAACCAACACTGACCATGCAGGAGGCAACATGCATGAGAACTGTCACCACTGAGTTAAGCAGGATAAAGGGGAAAACCCACATCTATGACGTAAATATAAGACAGGGTTTTATACAGCATTATAACCCTTTCTGAGACTTCAACAAAAATGTCTCATCAAATAAAGCTAGGCATTAATATTTACATAACACATGTATTTTGTATGTAGAGTTTGTGAAAATTTACGGCATTCAAAACACTATAAAAAGGACACGGCGTCTAAAGGATAAATGTTACGTTTTTTTGACGTCACAAATGTTGAATACAGTCATTTGGCCAGTTCCGAATAAGAATCCGATTCGACGGTGCTACAAATATACTAGGGATTATTTCAAAATCTAAGTGTTTTGTCAAGGTAGTTCGATGACTAGCGGAATTAAATATTGTTTCATAAAAGTTCAGCCTTCCCTCAAATAAATTTATTTCGCAAGTTACCATAGGTGTCCATTTTACCAGTTACGAATAAGCCGACGGGTTCCGGATACCCTAGAGATTCTTATTCAATTCAACCCTAAATTAAAAGATATACATGTACGTCCCAGACGTTATCCATGGGCATGCCTAAGAAAAGTTAAATTAATTGCTTACCAATAAATTATTTGTATTTCCAAAGGTTGAAGAGAATTCGAAACTAGAGATACTGTGGGCATTGAGCTCATTTTAATGATACCCCACGCCTCCTTTATGATTATTTAAGACAAAGTCCATGTTTTACTCTGGGAGACCCGAAATAAATGTCAGATCAAAAAGTAAAATAATAGGTCACATTGTCACAATGCAATAAAGAATATGTGAAAGTATCATTAAATCTTATTCAGTGGTATAGGAGGAATTGCGGACAAGAGATGGATATACCTTTCAATATTACAAAGAATGGCAGTATCTATGTTTTTCTCAGGGAGCCCAAATTATGTACCAGATCCAAAAATAAAATAGGTGCACTTTGGCACTGTTAAACAAAGATTCTGTGAAAGACTCAATAAATTCTCTGAAGCCTCATTAAACTTCATTCAGTGGTAGAAAAGGGGTTGCGGATAAGAAATGGATACCCCAGAGCATATCAGACGGACGGACGTACAGCTAGACGGACGGACGGACGTACAGACGGATGGATGGACAAACATCCCATTACTATATACAGTTTCTTCCTGTTTTTCAAGTGGGGGTAGAATAAGAGTAGTATAAACGGCCTGGCCGGGTGGGTCAACTGAGTGCACTTTTGGGGCTGAGGGGATAGGTGGGTCAACAGAGTGCAGCCCCTGTGAGGGATAGGTGGGTCAAGGGAGTGCAGCCCCTGGGGGGAGGATAGGTGGGTCAAGGGAGTGCAGATTAGGGGGTTCTAAGGATAGCCGGGTCAATTCAGTACATTTGTTGCATCATCTTTTAGATCTATTGCATCATCTTTATATATCTATTGCATCATCTTTATATATCTATTGCATCATCTTTTTTAATCTATTGCATCATCTTTTTGATATCTATTGCATCATCTTTTTTATACCTGTTGCATCATCTGTAAGGTGTGCCGTGTGCAAAAAAAAATATGCTTACCTATGCATTGTGACGTCATCCACTGTATAAATACAGGTTTTCTCCTACTTTCAGCTCATTCTACAGTCAGAGCCAGCTCCTATTGGGGTCATGGATTCTACAAGAGAAAAACAGTTACATGCTCAGCGATTATTAGAATGGAAAAAAAGGGAAAGAGAATTAGAAGGAATTCTTGATGAAAATAAAGAGCGAGAATTAGAGCTTAGGAAAAGAAATGCGGTAAGATTACAGAGAAGAGCTCTACAAGAAAAACAACGACAACAACAACTACAACAACAACGACAACGACAACTACGGGAGAGAGAATCAAATCAAAATCTTGATGAAAATAAAGAGCGAGAATTAAAGCTTCGGAAAAGAAATGCCATACTATTACAGAGAAGAGCTCAACTAGAAAAACAACGACAGCAACAGCAAAGGACAAGGGCGCATGAGGGGTCAAAGTTACCTATTCATTCACCACCCAAACCCAAGGCCATATCCCAGTATTATCGAGTCAAAGTGAATGAAAGGGTGCACTCTAGAAAATTTAAAGCTCAACAGGATTTTTACACTGTGATTTTTAAGGAGTTTCCAGAGGAAGAAAACAGAACATTTGTTCGGCGATTATTCAGAGACATGTTACAAACTTTCAAATCGAAAATGCAGTGTAATCCTAACGATTACCTCCGCCTGAACATACGCCACAAATCTTTGGAATCAGAGATTTGGTACGAGTTTACGCAATGTAAACATTTTAACGAGGACGTCATTTTAGACAAGATTGAAGCCGTGCAACAATCCAGAAAGGAGTTCAAACTGGGCGACGGGGGCATGGAATTCGATATGTTTCGGGTCAAGTATCCCGAGGGAAGTGGTGGCCAGAAAACCAAACATCTACAAGTGAATAAGGAGACTTTTAAGAACAATAAACAATCCATCGTTCGGATCGTCAATCCCCATGATGAATTTTGTTTAGCTAGAGCCATCGTCGTGACTCGATTACACAGTCAGAAACCGGAACATCCAGACCCCGAATGGGAAAAACAATGGCTTGCTATGCGGAAGGGAGATAGGCAATCCTTGGACCAGAAACGAGAAGCCATAGCCCTCATGGAACAGGCCGAGTGTGATATCACTCAAGCTTGTGGAGCCCTAGAGTGGCCGAAATTACAACAGGTGTTAGCTCCCCAGTATCGTCTGAAAATATTTCAGTTCAAGTCTACTTCGACTAAACTCACCTTAGAGCGCATCTTCAAAGGCTGGGGAGACGGAACTTGTTTGAACATATTGTTAGACGACCATCATTACGATGCCATCATATCCATGCCGGGAGTAACGGGGAACCAATATTACTGTGATCATTGCGACGTGGGGTACAGGACTGTCACAGAACATCGCTCCAAGTGTCCTCATCGCTGTACCTTTTGTTTAGGACATCACCCTAATTGTCCCGATGAAGGGATCAAGATTAAATGCCAGGAATGCCATGGAATGTTTAAGAACAGGACCTGCTACGAAAATCATTTAAGACCCCATAGTAAGAAGACCACCACTACTGTCTGCAATTTAATGGAACAATGCGAGAAGTGTCAGTCTTGGATACCTAAGAAATTATTCCCTCATCACAAGTGCGGAGGACAGAAACAGTGTAAGATCTGTAAGAAAATCGTCGATACCGATCATCAGTGCTACGTACAACAGAAACCCAAGAAGAAGAAGAAGGGGAAAGGGACCTTAGAGTTTTACATCTATTTCGATTTCGAATGCACTCAGGAAACCGGCATTCACATCCCTAATCTGTGTGTGGCACACCGCGTCTGTCAACATTGCAGTCACTTACCCATAGACCAACCCTGTCCTCATTGTCAACACATGGGACCCCGTCAGCACCTATTTCAAGGACCAGACACCTTAAAGAAGTTCATGGACTGGTTATTACAACCCACTACAGGTACTAAGAATTCCACTTTAGTACACGACGAGGCCATCGTCATCGCCCATAACTTCAAAGGCTACGACGGACAGTTCATTTTGAATCACCTGGTGCATTCCTCTTGCCTGAAACCTAACGTCATCATGACCGGCAGTAAGATCTTATACATGGAAATATGCGGACTGAAATTCATCGACTCGTATAGTTTCTTACCGTTTGCATTAGCCAAGATGCCCTCCGCTTTCGGATTCGACGAATTGAAGAAAGGCTATTTCCCCCACTTTTTCAATACGGAACAGAACCAGAATTACGTAGGACCTTATCCACCGGCAGCTTTCTACAAACCGGACGAAATGTCTACCAGTGGACGAAAAGCTTTTTTTGAATGGTACGACCAACAGAGGGGAAAAGTGTTTGATTTCCAGAAAGAGTTTGTAGGGTATTGTGTCTCGGACGTCGACATTTTACGCCGATGCTGTGCACAGTTTAGAGCCACCCTCAAGAGTTTGGTCAATGTGGACCCTTTCCAGGAATCCATCACTTTTGCCAGTGCTGCTAATTTAGCCTACCGTCGACAATTCATGCCTGAAGACACCATAGCCATCATTCCCAACCTCGGGTATCAACCGGCACGACAATATTCGGCTAAAGCCTGTCGGTGGCTCACCTGGATGAGTCAACAGACCGGATGTCACATACAACATGCCAGAAACGGGGGCGAAGTCCAGATCGGAAATTATACCGTCGACGGATACCAGGAAGCGACTCGCACCGTCTACGAATTTTACGGGTGCTATTGGCACGGATGCCCCACCTGCTATCCCAGTTTACAGACCGAAACTCATCCTCATCGGACCCAATTTACTTACCAGCAATTACACGAAGAAACCCTCAGAAGGACTGGCGATTTAGAAGACATGGGGTATACCGTCCGTAGTATCTGGGAGCACGATTTCGATCAGCAAGTGCAAAAAGATGAGAATTTACAGCAATTTGTAGGAAACCTGGACATTCCGGATCCTTTGAAACCTCGAGAAGCCCTGTACGGAGGTCGGACCAATGCCACCCGATTATATTGTGAGGAAGGGGACATGAGATACGTGGACGTTTGTTCCCTATACCCTTACGTGTTGAAACACAAGCCTTTTCCCGTAGGGCATCCCGAGATCATCACAGACGAGTTCCAGGACGTGAGAAATTATTTCGGTCTCATTCACTGTCGGGTCTTACCTCCCCGAGACCTCTATCACCCCGTATTACCTTATCGGACGGGAGGCAAGTTATTATTTCCCTTATGTCGCACGTGTGCCGAACGACAGGACTCTACGTCTCAAGATCGATGTCCACACACCGACCGGGAACGTAGTCTCACGGGTACTTGGGTGACGACCGAATTACATAAAGCCCTAGACATGGGATATACCTTAGATCGAATCTACGAAGTATGGCATTTTAAAGAAAGCAGACAAGATTTATTCAGATCTTACATCGATACCTTCCTCAAGATCAAACAGGAAGCGTCCGGATTTCCCCCCGACTGTAAGACCTCAGAACAAGAACAAGATTACATTCGACAAGT